AGCAGGCCTGTCACCTCCTGCACCGCTCGGCAGCTGAAAGGGTGATCTGGAGTTTCCTCCCCTTGACTGTGCAGGCAGACCACCCCCATGAAAAACAGCCTCGAGCCCACTTGCAGGTTCCTACAGTGGAGCCTTAGAAGAATTTCACGTGCCCGTCGTGAAGTGAGGCCCTCTGCTCGATGATTCTGTCCCATTTGATTTCTCTCCTCTGTCCTTCCCATCTCCTTTGACTCCCCTGCGTGCCAGCCGAGCTTGCTATCGCCTTCCTAATTCCCCTCAGTGGGAACAGCTCTCCTCCTTCACACGCCTCTAATAGCAGCATATTTGTGCGCACGTCTCCCGTGGGCCCCAGGAACACGCAGCCTTCTGTGAACATCGGCACCCCGCTTCGTAGACCAAAATCCACTATAAGGTTCCTCGGGTAAGGCGTGAAACGTCCGTTGTCCTCCACGTCACACAACCTTCCCACCACTTTATCCCCCTTCGCCTCCTCTACTTGCCAGTAGATGAAGTCCCCGATGGTTCTGTTCTGCGTCCGTGGTAGCTTCACCGTGGCTACCACCTCCTCGCTGGTCAGCCTCGCGAGCACCATCTCTTTCCAGCCCGGAGGTGCCGCGTTGAAAGCTTTTAACGCCCATTTCACTTTTTCTTTGCTTCCCAATTCCCTTGCCAGGACCTCCAAATTTTTTAGGCTGCACGTCCCGTCCATCAATTTCTCGATCAGGTCTCCCATATGCATGCCCAGCAGCACCTCCGTTCCCTTCTGATTCCCGAAAGGGCTCGCGCCTCTGAAGGGGATGCCCGGGTTGAACGCCATGTGTTCCTGCTCCACCTCCCGCCGGTTCGATGGCACACGCGCATTACACAACGGCGAGTCCCAGAATTTCCCGACCAACTCCTTCAATCGTGTGCTCCCTTTCAACCAGTGGCCCAACAGTGACTTGTGCGCGAAGATGGTGTCCCACCCCAGGGGCATCCGCTTTCTCCGCCAGCCATTTCTTGACGGAGTTTGGCCTCAACACCAGGCGAGAGATGTACTGTATTGCGATGATGTCAACCCTCTGCACGGGGCAGATCAGGCCCAGACCTCCTTTCTTCCGAGGTGTGCAGACCAAGTCGTAGTTCCAGAGGACGAACCGCTTCTCCTCTACCGCCTCCCCTTTCGACACGAAGGTATGACACAGCTTGTGGATTTTTTTTCCAAATATCCTCCGGCGGCAGGTAGACTTGCGCTTGAAATAGGAAAATCGGCACGATGTAGTTGTTGGCTATCGTCACCCTCGCCGACGTCGTCAGATGACGTACTTCCCACTTCGCTAACTCCCCCTTCGCTCTGTCCAGCGCATTGTTCCAGGAGGGGGCCGGGTCCCCGCTGGGCGTAATCCAAATCCCCAGGAGGTGCTCCGGCTCGTCTTTGTCCGCCCACTTGTATTGCAGGTTCTACGGTGCCAGCTTCCCTCGGTTCTTCCCCAGCGGGAATACCACTGTCTTCCCCTTGTTCACCTTCAACCCCAACTCCTCGCCGAAGCTGGCCAACACCTTTGCCGCTGTCTCCAGCTGCTCTTCTCCTTGCAGAAGGAGAGAAGTTTCATCGGCGTAACCCAAATACGCCAGCTTGCCAATTTCCCTTCATCCCTATTACCAGTTTCTTATGGTTGATTTCATGACACAGTGGCTCAACGGCGCAGAGGAAGAGGTACGGTGCCAACGGGCACCCTTGGCGCACCCCCTTTTCCACCGCCACTTTTTCACCTGTCCACCCGTTGATATGTAAGCGTGTACCCGCCTCCTTGTGCAACCCCTCCGTCCAGGTTACAAAATCTTCCGGCAGACCCAGCTTCCGCGGCATTTTGAAAAGGTAACCCCGCGAGATGGAGTCGAACGCCTTCTGAAAATCCACCATAAGCAGGTACTAGTCCTCCTTCCCACTGGCACCTGCATCAATGGCATCCGCTACCACAGCAACCACGTCCGCCAGCTGCCGACCAAGTATGAAGCCGTACTGATCCTCTGAAGATATCTCGTGCAGCACCTTTTTAAGCCTGCTCACCATTAATTTCGCCACAATCTTGTACACCGTGCTCAGGAGCGTTATCAGCCGATAGTTCCCCAGATCCTCGTTGTCCCCTTTTTTATGCAGCAAAATGATCACCGTCGTTGAGGCGCTTTGCGGTAATTCCTCTTCCCGTGTGAAGCATCCCACCAGCTTCATCAGCACCGGACCCAGAAGATCCCAATTGCGGTTGAAAAGCTCCTTCGGCAACTCGTCCGTGTATTCCCTCTCCCGCTTCTCCTGCTTTCCCCCGCCCCCATACTATTCCTCGACTCGCGTCCTTTTGGCCCAGCCATTCATAATCAATTGCTGTGACTTCCCCTGCGTGCCTTCCGCCTGCCTCACCTCATGCTCGCTTACCTGGAAGGCCAACCAACGCAAGAAAACATAACTTGTCACACCGTCGGGTGCTTCAGGTATGGCCGCCATTCCTTGTCTTCATTCACACAATCTACTCCACCCCACGTCCATTTTTCGCCTCTCCACCTGCCTGAGCGCAAAACCCCTTCGTCCATCCGCCCTTCCTCTTTCTCCACTGGTGCTCCTGCCTGTGCTCACGTGCCAAGGATTCGAGAAAGTTGAAGGTCATTATCGCCCTGTTTTGAGACATCTCAGAGCAGATTTGATATTCGTGAAGCGCAAGGTCATTTTTGTCCTGTTGCTTCGTTGCTCTGCATGTGATAGTCGTTCACAACTGACTGAACCATGACCTCCTTTTAAAACTGATTGAATGCTGTGCATAAGAAAGTCAGCCACAATCTCCCTCTCCTCCCCTCCCCCCTCTCAGCTACTGCCGCTATTTCCGTTCTTCCCCCTGCTACTGCTGCTATTCCCTTCCTTCCCCTTGCTACTACCGCTATTCTTCCCCCCCTTGCTACTCAGTAGCCCACACCATCTCCATTCACCTGACCCCTATGTCGATATGGTTCCTTCTGAGCCATCCTTCTGTATGCACTCAATGCATCCCTGCTCCACCGCTGCCGCTCCCCGCCTTCCTTCCTATGGCTGCTGCTCCTGCTGTTCCCCACCCGCTTGTTCGCTCCGGCCGCTATTCTCCTCCGCTCTCTGCTGCTGCCACTGCCCCTCCCCTTTCCCTGGATCCTGTCGCCATTTCCCATGCTGCAGGCACACTCCACGCACTGATATCGCCCCATTAGCCATGCATCGGATAGCTGCACTGGCCATGGTCTGTTGCTCTTGGGTGGCCCGCCTTCGCTCTCGGGTGGACTGTTGCTCTCTGTCATTGTGGGTATGGCTGGGACTCACGGGGTGAGTGAGGCGAAGGAAATGGGAATGAGGGCGGTTGGGGTGCAGCTGGAAGAGACACGGGGGGGAATTAGCAGCAAGGAGGGGGGAAGTGGAGGAGGCTGAGAGGAGGCGAGAAGTAGACTTAAGGGAGCTGAGAGGACAGGTGGAGTGGAGGAGAGGACGAGGGGTTGGGAAGAGGCTGAGAGCAGACAAGGAGAGGAGTTGAACAAGTGTCTTGAGACGTCTGCAAAGCACTTCTTCAAAGACGCACCTTGGACTGACTCAAGAATCTCTTCCCTAGAGAGTTGCTAGACCAATCGACTGCCAGGCTGGCAGAAACCATCACGGAGCATGAGTAAGTGGTGTGTGGTGGGTGGTGGGGAGGCAAGGTTTTTCACGTTGGCCAGTGCAAAGAGTGGGAGCGAGGCAAGGAATAGTCAGCAGCAATGGATAGGCGGGCCTCACTGCTATGTTATAAAACTTGCAACGCATGTCTCAAAGTTTTCTGCTTCCTCAAGGTTTTCCCTTGCACCTCTTCCACACGGTGCCACCTCCAACCAGTCTCTCCTTTCTCCCTCTCACCATCCTCCCTACTCTCTCCTTTCTTATCCTCATTCTCTTACCCCCGTGAGCGAATATTGAGAATTCTAATGAACAACTCTTACCCCCCACCCCTCCTGTCAGTCAAGCATTTTTTTTCAACACTCTCAACTACCGCACCGATTCGAGATACCTCCCCCCTTCCAACTCCACCTCCTCTCCTTCCCCCTTCCCCTTCCCCTTCCCCTCCACCAGCCGGGTGTTTTTAATCATCAAATTCAATTGCCGTCCATATTAATCTCCACTCCTCCATTCTCTCTGTCCTTCTCCTCGTCCCCTCCCCTCTCCCCCGTTTCCCCCTGCCCACTCCACCTGTCGCATGGAGCTCCCCACTGCATGGAGCTCCCCCCCAAGCCCAATCTCTCCCATCATCCCTTTCACTAACCTTCCTCCCTTCTGTCCCTCCCGTCGCCCTCCCGATCAGTCGCGTGTTCTTCTTTGGAGATCTCAACTATTGCCGGGAGCTGTCCCCCTAGCCCAATCTCTCCCCGTTCCCCCATTGACCACCCTTCCTCGCTTCTGCCCCTCTACCCTCTTTTCTCATCCACTAGTCGCGTGTTCTTCTTTGGAGATCTCAACTACCGCCTAAAGCTGCCGGATCAGGAGGCGAGAGCTCTTCTTGCCAAGCGCGACTGGGAGGCGCTGCTGCAGCATGACCAGGTGGGTTGGGATGGATGCTGTGTGGTGCAGTGCGGTGTTGTGGGATGGATGTTATGGTCCTCCAGCGAGAATGACTGGTGTGCAGCTGCGACTCACGAGCTGGCCAATGCGACTGGGAGGCGATGCTGCAGCACCACAGTGTGGTGCTGTGGGATGTGGTGATGTGGGATGTGGTGCTGTGGGATGTGGTCCTGTGGGATGTGGCGCAGTGGGATGTGATGCTGTGGGATGTGGTGCTGTGTGGAACTGTGCCACCATCTCTCCTCTCCCACCCCGCAACCATCTGAGACCAAAGTTCCAAGCTCCCGGCTCGCCCTGTTTGAGGACTTAAATGCTTTACCCTGCCTCCCTTCCCCTCTCCTGCAACTACAATAGGAGCTCTCAAGGGAGGGCACTGCCAGGGTTGCGCAGTTGGCTTTTGAGTCGAACCAAGAGCCATATGAGGCACGTAAAATGCGATATCATCCGGTCCGGATCCCCGTCTCTTCTCCCCTTATCCCCTCCCGCAGCTGCGGTGGGAGCTCTCAGAAGGAGGGGCACACTCCCAGGGTGGCGAGAGGGCCCCATCTTCTTTGCCCCCACCTACAGGCTACGGGCACTGCATATGAGGCACCTCAAATGCGCAACTGCCTGTCTCTCTCCCCCTCCTGCAGCTGAGGTGGGAGCTCTCAGAGGGCGGGGCGCTGCCCGGCTGGCAAGGGCCCTATTTTCTTCGCCCCGACCTATAATTACGCAGCCGGCAGCAACCAGTACATGGGGTAGGACTAAGAGGACCAGGAGGCCGAGGAAAAGCCCTCTTGAAAGCGCATCAAACGCGTTCTCATCCCCCCTTCCCCTCTTTCCTCCCCCATTCGCTCAGCTGCGATGGGAGCTCTCAGAAGGTGGGGCGTTACCCGGATGGCGCGAGGGGCCCATCTACTTCGCCCCGACCTACAAGTACGCAGCGGGCAGCAACCGGTACGTGGGTGAAGACAAGGAGGACGGGGAGCAGGGAGACTAAGAGGACCGGCTGAACAAGGAGAAGCGCCCTCCGAGGCTCATCACATGCGTTTTCATCCCGAAAACCTCCTTCCCCCTCCCCTTCCCCACTTACCTCAGCTCTGGTGGGAGCTCTCGGAGGGCGGAGCGTTACCAGGGTGGCGGGAGGGCCCCATCTTCTTTGCCCCGACGTACAAGTACGCAGCGGGCAGCAACCGGTACGTGGGAGAAGACAAGGAGGACGGGGAGAAGCGCCGCACGCCCGCCTGGTGCGACCGCGTCCTCTGGTACGACTCGGGGGACGCCACTGATAGTGTCCCCCCCACCAGCATCAGCAGCCCCAGCCCCAGCAGCAACACCGACACCACTGGGATCACCAGCAGCGGCAGCATGAGCAGCAGCGTGGGGGGGTATGTGAGTGATGCGCTGCAACTGGTGTCGTACTCGCGCGCGGAGCTGGCCTTGTCGGACCATCGGCCCGTGGCGGCGGTGTTTGCCGTGCAGGTGGAGGCGGTCGAGAGGGAGAGGTTTGATGCTGCTGTTGCTGTGGCGTGCCGGCAGTTGGATGAAAGGCAGCATCTGGCCATCACGCATTGTTCTCTCAGTGCCCATGCCGTAGAGTTTGGAGAGGTGAGTTGGGGTTTCTCTTTTGGCGATTCTCAGAAGCGACATATGTGTGAAGGTGTGGTGTTTGGGCTAGGCAAGTGCACAGTGGTGCTGGTGGCGACGGTGTGCCTGTCAACCGTCGCACCATTGCACAATCTCGCCATCATGCTCACCCTGCTTGCTGCTCTTCCTCCCATCCCTCACCCATATCCTCCCTCTATGTCTCCACAACCGCCTATGCTTCTCCTCTCCCTCTCTCACGCTCCCCCTCTCCCCCTCTAACCCGCTCAATCAACTTTTCCCCCTCTGTTTCCCCCGCCAGGTGCCCTATGCCTCTGTAATCCGTCGCACCATAGAGTTGCACAATCTCGGCACGGTCCCCGCACGCTTCTCCGTGGCCCCGGCATGCAGCACCGACACCGCTGCCCCCGGCCCTTCAGGGGGGTGCGGGGCATGGGTGGTGGCGGAACCAGCAGCAGGGGCAGTGGCGCCAGGGCACACGGTGACTCTCAGCCTGCACACCTGGGTGGCTGTGCCGGGCACGAGGGTGGATCTGCTGGTGGATCGTGGCGGGTTGCTGGATTTGATTCTGGTGGTCGCAATTGCGGGCGGTGGGGACCTGTTTGTGGCATGCTCTGGGAGCTACGTGCCGTCCTGCTAGGGCCTGCGGTGGGTTATATTATCCCTTGCCCGCCCCCCAGCAAGAACGGCAGTGCCTCTCCCTCTCCTCATCTACACCATTTCCCTCATCCCACCTCCTCTCCCTCCTCCATTCTTCCTGCCGTTCTTATCCCTCCCCCACATGTTCAGCACTCCTGTCTGCCGTTCCTCTCCTTCCCCGCTTTCTCCCCAAGCCCTAGTCTATTGGCATTGACGGGCCTCAAACACCCCATCCTCTCGCTCCTTCACCACGCCATCAACCGCATTCCCTTTCCTTTCCCGCTTCCCTTCATTCGTCCCTTCCTCGTTTTGCCCGCCCCGCTCCCGACCCCCTAGTCTGGAGGCACTGGCAGGTCTGAAGGACCCCATCCGCTCGCTCTCTCTCGACGCCATCGCCACATGCCAGCGATCTTCCCTCCGCCACACCCGACCTACGCCTGCTGCCGCTGCGGCTAGCAGCATCCCAGAAGCATCCGAAACCGACCCTGACAATGACAATGACTCCGCTGCTGCAGCCGGGGAGGAAGATCGGCCATTAGGAGCAGCAGCACGAGCAGCAGCAGGAGCAGCAGGAAACCCATCCCATGCATCAGACGCATTTGAGGTGCCCAAGGAGGTGGCGCGCATGCTCACCTTTCTGCTGGACTCCGGCCAGGACATCTCATCCGCCTTTGACCCCATCGCTCTCGGCATCGACCTTTCTCTCGACCAGGAAGACAGCACTCGTGCGCCCCACTTCCCCTCCTTGCAGTCCACCCCGTACGGGCACCCTCACTCACTCTCGCACACGCGCAGCGCGAGTCTCTCGTCCGATGTGCTGTCTGCTGCGGTTAGTTCCCTCTCCACCACTCCCGAAAGCAGCTTCAACAGCAACCCCAGCAGCAGCAGCAGCAGCAGCAGCCCCGGCAGCAGTAGCAGCAGCTTCGCCAGGAGCAGCAGCAGCGCTGGGGCTGGTGCAGGTGGTGTGCTTCCGCAGCTGTCTCGCACTTTGAGTCGAGCCGGAGTGGCAGGGCTGTACCCCGCTGCTACTCTAGCTGTCGCTGCTGCTGCAGGCGCCGTGGGTGCTGACTAATGAACGCACAGACTAATGTAGGAGGTAGCCTAGCTAGGAGGGAACCTCGGACGAGCGAGGTTGGGTGCAGGTTTGGCGATGGGAAATGCCGAAGGCGACACGAGGAGCCTCGGCAGCCTTGAAATCGGTCGAACGTGCAAAGTCCGAAAATCGGGGCTGTACGCGAAGGAGTCAACCCCGATAAGGAATTCGTAAAAATTCCTTACCTATGGGTACCCCAACGTTTCAACTTGCAAAAGATCAATTATTGCTCTCCTGGAATAAACTGTCAAACTATATAGATGCTGTAGTATAATCTGTAGGCTGTGGTGGGGTAGCCCATATGGGGTACAACCCAATGTTAGGGTTTCTATTTGTACCCAAACTTCCTCATAGTTCATTCATTCCTGCTAAGTCATTCTGACATGGTTTCAGAGAAGTACGTACGTAGGACCGTGTTCCTTTTTTTTTCCGGGCCCACCGAACGCATGTTACCGCGCTACCCCACGTGTTGACTTGCCCTGCGCTGCGCTCTAGCGCGCGCCCTGCCCTGCCTTGCCCCGCGCTGCGCTCCTCGCGCGCGCCCTGCCCTGCCCTACCCTGCAGCTCGCGCGTCGCCCGCCTGCTGCCCGCGCGTCGCCCGCTAGCAGCCCGCTCGGCCCGCGCTCTGCCTCTGCCCGCGCGTCGCCCGCCCGCAGCTCGCGCGTCGCCTGCTTGCTGCCCGCGCGTCGCCCACTAGCAGCCCGCGCGGCCCGCGCTTTGCCTTCGCGTGCCCGCGCGCTGCCCCTGCAGGCCCGTAAGGCCCGCGCGCCGCCCTCGCCGTCCGCGCGCAGCCGTCGCCTGCTCGCGCGCGGTCCCTGCTGGCCAGCGCGCCGCCTTCGCCGCCCGTTCGCGGCCTCTGCCCGCCCGCGCGCTGCCCCTTACCCGCGCGTGTGCTGCCCCTTACCCACGCGCTGCCCCTTACCCATGCGCTGCGCCTTACCTGCGCACGCGCTGCCTCTGCCGGCCAGCGCACCGCCCACCTGCAGCCCACGCCCTGCCTTTGCTGATCTGCGCGCCGCCACTGCAGCCCTGCGCGCAGCTTCTCCTGGCCTGCTCTCTACTCTGCAGTCAGCGCTCTGCCCTTTGCCGCCCGCACGCTGCCCTTGCCTGTGCTGCGATCATGGCGTCACTCAACGTTCTCGCATTTGAGCCTGACAATCCCCCAATAGAATTCGCCACTTGGCTCGATGACCTCAAACTATTCCTTATGACCGATGCCAAATACGGTGTTTCCCTGTACGATCACGCGTCTGGCTCCTCCGTTGCTCCTGATGATACCGCTGGCGCTCTCGCTCGCTCACAGTGGCAGACTCGTGATGCTGCTGCGCGCCTCGCTATTCATAATCATTTGCTGATCACTGAGCGCGCGCACTTCAGCCAGCACAAGACAGCTAAGGCACTGTATACCGCTGTAGTTGCCCGCTACTCTTCCCCAGCCACTGCAGCCCTAGGTTGTCTTATCCTGCCCTACCTGTTCCCCGACCTGTCCTCGTTTGCCACCGCTAAGGACCTCATCTCTCACCTTCGCGCTAGTGACGCTCGCTTTCGTGCCACCCTTCCAGACGAGTTCCTCGCCGAGAACCCCCCCTCCCCCCTCTCACCTTTCGTGCCACTTTACTCTCTACTTCCTCGTCACCCGCCTCCCTGACACTCTTCGTTCAGTCAGGGACCACTTTCTCACCCTAGACCCCACCACTCTCACTGTCGCCGACTTCAAGAAGCACCTCCTAGCAGCGGAAAAGAGCATTCTTGCTGTAGGTGCTACTCGTGGCACTCCTCGCACTCCCCTCTTTGAGGGGTGCTCCCCCTCCCCTCTTGCCCCCTCCTATGCCTCTGCTGCTGCTGCTGCTGTTGAATTCCTTGGTGCTAAGGAGGTCGGGGCTGCTTCCGCTCCTAGTGGGAAGCGGCGCAGCGCTAGGGGCGGCAGGGGTGGCAGGGGTGGTGGAGGTGGCGGTGGAGGGGGCGGTGGTGGAGGCGGCGGGGAGGTGGAGGTGGTTGGGGTGGTCGTGGGGGTGGAGGCGGTGGTGGGGGCGGCGGTGGTACCGGGAGCGGTGGAGGTGGCAGCGGCGGTAGTGGGGGAGGAGGGAGCGGCGGTGGCAGTGGTGGTGGGGGCTGGAGTGGAAGCGGCCAAAAGGGGGGCTCCAATGGTGGCCAGGGGCAGCAGCAGCAGCAGCAGCATCCGCGCGAGACCCCTACGACTCAGCAGCTTCATGACTGGTACGCTCAGCGTGGGGCGTCTGGGGGTCCTGTCTGCTGCCCATATATCATTCGCACAGGCGCCCGCACTGGTCGGCCATGCGGCAGGTTTCACACTGAGTACCGCTGCTTCTCTCGGCTTAGCGACGCCTGGCGCGACAAGTTTCCTGACGCTACTGAGTTCCCCCCCTGGGCAGACCTGCTTAGGCGTGATGTTCCTATCTTTGATCTTGACTATGATGCAATTCTTGCTGCCATGTATGCATTGACTGTTAGTGCTGAGGGTGATTGCTACTTGTGTATGCCGCCTGACCCAGGTATAGGGACTGCAGCCCTAGATGCTAGTGACTCTGCTCTCCCTGGTACTGCGTCGGCTCAGGCCTTGCACACCTTTACACTTGACTCTGGTGCTTCCCGCTGTTTCTTTCGCGACAGTACCACAGTCACTCCCCTCCCTGCACGTGTCCCTGTCTCACTGGCTGACCCCTCTGGGGGCCCAGTGCTTGCACGGTCCACTACTGTGCTTCCGTGCCCAGCGGTCCCGTCTGGTGAGCTGTCAGGTCTCCACCTCCCCTCGTTCTCTACGAATCTGGTGAGCACCGCCGTCCTTCAGGACCATTGGGTTGAGACCTTTACTCCTGGAGGACAGCGTGTGGCGATCTGCACGTGCTCTCGGACAGGGCGCCACCGGGCCACGGTCACACGTGCGCCTGGGTCCAGTCTGTACACCCTCACCACTGCGTCGCGCTACGCCCCTTTGTCTCAGATGTACGCGTCCGCTCAGGTAGCTACCCAGTGTAAGTGTCGCCGACTGTCGCACCAGACTCTCCTTTGGCACCACCACCTTGGTCACCCCTCCCTGCCCCGCCTTTGTGGCATGCACTCTCGCTCCCTGGTCTCTGGTCTTCCCAGGTCTCTGCCCTCCCTCCCCCCCTCGCCTGCGCCGCCCTGCGTTCCTTGCGTCGAGGTGCGACAGCGCGCCGCTCCTCACTCCTCCTCGTTCCCTCCGACAGAGGCTCCACTGCAGACTCTCCACCTGGACGTGTGGGGCCCAGCCCGCGTCCACGGGCAGGGCCGCGAGTGGTACTTCCTGCTGGTAGTCGACGACTACACGCGTTACACCACGGTCTTCCCATTGCAGTGCAAGGGGGGCGTCCCGGCTGTTTTGATCCCTTGGATCCGCGCTGTTCGTCTCCAGCTCCGCGAGCGTTTCGAGTCGGACTTTCCTGTCCTTCATCTGCACTCTGACAGAGGTGGTGAGTTCACCTCTGACCTCTTGCGAGCCTTCTGTGAGGAGGAGGGCATCCGCCAGTTGTTCACGCTTCCGGCCTCTCCGCAGCAAGATGGGGTTGCTGAGCGCCGCATTGGCTTAGTCATGGAGGTTGCTTGTACCTCCATGATCCATGCGGCTGCTCCCCATTTTCTGTGGCCGTTTGCGGTCCGGTACGCCGCGCATCAGCTCAACCTCTGGCCCCGTGTCTCCGTGCCGGAGACTTCGCCCACACTACGTTGGACGGGGGAGGTTGGCGATGCGTCGCGATTCCGGGTCTGGGGTGCTCGTGCCTTTGCCCGCGATACCACTGTGGACAAGCTCTCCGCTCGCGCCATTCCCTACGTCTTCCTTGGCTTTCCCCCTGACGCGCCTGGCTGGCAGTTTTACGACCCCACCTCGCGCCGAGTCTTTGCATCTCAGGACGTCACCTTTGACGAGTCGGTCCCCTTTTACCGTCTCAGGGGGTGCTGCTGGAGACACTGAGGCTGGAGACCCTGGGGCTGGAGGTGCCAGTTCTGGGGGTGCTGCTGCTGGTGGCGCTGGTACTGGAGGTGCTGGCGCTGGAGGTTCTGGAGCTGCTGGAGGTGCTGGCGCTGGAGGCACTGGAGCTGGAGCAACTGGTGCTGGTGGCACTGCACAGCCGCGACTGTTTTTCGTTCCGCCATCACCGTCGTCTCTGCCACCGCCTGACTCCGTGCTTCGCCAGGTTCTTAGCCTCCCGTCTTCTACTGGTCTTCCGTTACAGCCTGGCTCACCACTACCTGCTCCTTCTCCTTACACTGAGCAAACAGGAGGTCTTACTGAGCGTTGTGAGCCTGCATCTCGTCCTGTCTCGCCTGTTCGCACTGTTCACACTGGTCGTACTGGCCGTCGTATTCCTCGTGAGCGTTCGCCTCCCATCCCTGGAACGCACCTCATGGCACTTCGTCCTTCCTCTGCTCCACAGCGTGTTCCCCTACCGTCCCCTCCTGCGTCTTCTCTGCCTGATGTTCAAGACCCTGGATCTGACCGGGTTCGTGCTGCTCACCCTACTATCACGCGTCTGCTCGCCACTGTTGTCACTAACGCTTCGTTTGAGTCCACTGCTGCGACTGCCTTGGTCGCTGAGCTTGTTGACTTTGCTACTGCCTGTCGTCTAGACTACGCTGCTAGTCTTGTCGCAGAGTCTGAGTCTGTGTGTCCTCCGTCCGTCGGGGGTGAGTGTGCTCTTGGCACGGACGTCCTTGAGGACAGGCAGGAGGACTTTGAGTGTCTTGTGGTTGCTGTACACCATCTCGTGGCCATGCTGCTTGCCCCTGAGGGAGACCCGGATGCACCAGACATCCTGACCCCCCGCTGAGGCGATCGCTGGTGAGTACTCCTCTCAGTGGCAGACAGCCATGGACGCAGAGATGGCATCCTGGAAGTCCACAGGCACTTACGTCGATGAGGTTCCCCCTCCTGGGTCTAACATCGTTGATGGCATGTGGATTTTCAGGGTGAAGCGGCCGCCGGGTTCTCCGCCTGTCTT